CTCCCCCCCTCCCCTGTACTCCCCCATTGGATGTGGTGGCTACAAAAGTTGTATTTTTTAGGCTTTGTCCCCTTTATTTTCTCCTGGTGATCCTGCCTGTAACACACTTCCTGTCCCGCGGTGACAACACTCACTCGCTGCACTGTACCAATGGAGGAGCAGCGTTGTCACCCTAGGCTGCTCTGCTGACAGGGACTACAAACACCTCCTCCTCTCCTCCTCTCCATTACATAGGGATGAGGTATCCTGTAGTTCACAGGCCATAGCTTGAAAAAAGCGAGATTTCAGTCCACTGCACAGGAAGTGACCAGGACACCAGATTTCTGGCAGGATCAACACGCATTCCTAACCTGGAAATAAAAGCAAACGAATGCAGCCACCACATGAGAGGATCCATGAACTGCAATCCTCAGACTTTGGTCACCTGGTGAGTGCGTCAGTGTGAGTTTTTGTAACATGCATTTAATGAATGGGCTGGAAACGCACTAAAATGTCCAAAACCACCCCCTCCCCCTCCCCCATGCATGCCCCATTTTTGGCTACGCAGGGCACCACCATGCGCAGTGATGTGTTATAGCGTGCTGCAGTTGGAGCTGCGTTTCTGTACTGCAACGCACTGACGCACATCATGGGCATTAACTTGCCTGGCACACTGGAAAAAAGTGAATGGGCCCCTAAGTTATCCAATAAAGGGGCCCCCATATAAACTAAGCCAGGAACTGCACAGAAAGCACCGGAATCTGATACATTATATGTCTGATCACCCCCAAAACATCCACTGGAGCCCCCCCACCTTCATAATCTCAGGTCAAAAGATTTGGGCAAACCTCCCCTCCCCCAAACAACAGAGCCGAGCCTTGTGTCCAGCCAAGGCACAAGCCGTGCCACACAGGGGGCGTGTCCAAGTATGCAAATACAGACTTTTAAAAGGGGCGGGGCATTGTCAAACCCTAGTTGGCTACAGCTGTGTATGGTGTCTCCTAGTTCCCCTTTGATTGTATTACGTGCATGGTGCAGGTGCGCTCTAAACTGTCCAGCGTCCTCCGCACACTTCCTGCGTGGCGTCCTCGAGTCTACAAACTCCCCCCCCCCCCAGGTTTTTTCTTTGTACGA